CGGCGTTGGCGAAGGCGATGGCGGGGCCCGGGCGGGGCCGAGGCCGCGCGCGCCGCAGGAAGGGCCGTGCGGGCGGCTCTTGCGGAGCCGCTGCGGCCACCGCCAGGAGCGCCACCTGCAATCACACCAATAAGTCTCAGTGGATGATCTGAGAGATCCCTGAATCTATGGATACGGAATCTTGGCTACAAGAAATCATGTTTTATCCGAGAAAAATAAAGATGAAATAAGAATTACAGACTTTTAAATAAAAATAAACCTTGTTAATATGTAATGAACAATTATTTTATTCCGTTAGAAATTATTCGATTTCAATGAAACTCCTGGATTTATTACTTTTTGAAAAATGCATGTAAATAAGAAATATTAAAAATGCATATTAATTAATGCAGACAGCCAATAATAATGTTTATAATTCTTTATAAATAAGTAGTAATTTTGAAAACAAAAATATTGAGGAGATAATCAGCTATAAATCTATTTATTTTAAATATTGATTGAGTTGGACAAAATATGAACAGCGAACTTTTTTAACGTGGAATCGCGAATTAATTTGTCAGACAATTTGTTTTTCTATTAATTACTAGTAAAGTTGCATAACAAATTTCAAAATTTATGTTCTTAATGTATACATGACTCACTGGTTCTTGTTTCACAGACCAGCACGCTATCGGAAGTATGACGAAACACCACCGGAACATACCTGTGTCGTATGGCCAGGCTCAGTTGCCATGCTTTGCTTTACTTTTTGTAATTTATTTTGTTCCCATGTATTGTGTGAAAGGTAATTAGCGAATGAGAAAACAGTACAGGACAGATGTAAGCGTGACAGACCTTAGACCCGGAGTACCTGAGTATGTAATTGTTGGAAGTTACGTGTAAGGATGAAGGATGTACTCATAGTAGTTGAGGTTTGCAAGCGACTTGCTGTTGCCTTATTTCGTTTCAGGTGCTGCGCTGTGTATCAAATATGGACAGAACATACAAGCAGAAAATAAAATGGGCTAATCTGTGCGACGACATATCTGTCGGCAACGTTTCCCCTCCCTGTACCCAATTCCCTGGATTTCCCTCTCCACCACACAACCTTTTTTCTATAACATCGATACGGTGGAGAAATCCTGTAGGATGAATACCATTGGTCGGTAGAAAAAATGCGTAGTAGGCAGCTTTAAAGACACTCGACTTAACCACTTACGGCCATATGGATGCTCTATTTTACAATAAATAAAAAAAATTAAAAATTTCTCTTCAACATATCATTTCGAGTCTTTCCTGACAAGAACCTCGGCTTACACGACCTCCTAGCTACGTTGTCTGGCAAGTGTCAGAGGCGATGCGTGAGGGAGCTATTACCGGGAAAGCTGTACGCCTGCAACGGGTCGCGAGTTCTGTTTTGAAATTCGCGTTCGCGGCAAGAACCCCCTTCGCAAGAGAATGTGTTCTGCTGCAGCGGCCACTTCCGTCGGCAGCCCGCGACTGTGGGTGCGAACGCTACAGACATTGCTCAATTCCTGCGGCGAGACGCCCCTCTCCTCATTACGTAAACAGCCTCCTTTTTTGCCGCCCACAAAAATGTTTCACGTTATTTTCTTTCCAGGAATCATGGTGGTGTAAAAACTGGAATTTGTGGTTTGTTATTGATACTATTCTCTCTACATTTTGCAATACTTCTGTTCACTTGAATAATTCTGGCAGACGTTTATAGAAAAGCATTCGAAGTTTCTAGAGGGTTTTTGAAATACTCTCGCTAAACTACACTACGAGTTCTATTAAATCGGAACTCCACCTCACTCTGCCAAGAGACACTAATGTATTTTTTTCGAATATTGTATTTTAATTATTTATTCATTTATTTGTTGGGGTTTAGAAGTGGACCTTTCGACGTATAACGTAATTGAGGTCTATGAATGATAATTTAATTGTAACGAGTGAGAAGGTAATGGGGTGAAAGATAATGGAGAAATAAGAGGTTGGGGAAACGGGAGGAACTGGAAGAAACGTGTCGTCAGCACGCTTCTCTACGAAACCCCGGTCCCAGATGTGGAAGGCGCATGCGACAGCCATTACGCCACGAGCCTGCCCCCTCTTCCAGTATAAAATACAACTCTAGAACCTCAGATAAGCGAATGCTCAATTATGCGCTCTTGATAGGCCGGGAACCAGAAAAAAATCACTTTGTTAAGCTCAAGCGTGTAGGCGTCAGCGTTGCGCCGTGCAATGTTATGCATCTGTCCAAAAATCTATGTCACTGGGGAAAGAGTACACTGCAAAATTCTAGTCTTTAAAATTTGACATCTTTGAATCAGTAAGGAGGGTACTTAAAGACATACCCGGTTATCATAAGTGCTAGCTCTCGGTCTATGAATTCTTTGTGGGTAAGAATCAAATCCCAGTTTATGAAATATGGACTTCTTGGATCTTTTTGATTTTCCAAACATTCTGGCAATCTAGCATCATTAGTTTAAAAATTATACATACAGAGGTATTTGAAGTTCGTTTTTTTAAACGTGTATGCCAACTTTTCAAAGTAATTGTGGATTTATACTTTTTTTAAATGTATTGCATGTCTGAAAGTAGTAGTTGAGAGATCATGCGTATCTCTGTCGAATAGAACCCCCATTTTTGTATGTACAGATAAGTATTTTATAGATTTTTCATTGTAACATAATAAGAAAAATAATTATGAAAATATACCGGAAGAGGTGTCTCAGGCATCAACTGATGTAGAAGTAAACACAAATTAGACTAGTTCCTAACCCTAACGCTCTCTCAAACTAATTAGTGTCCAATTCTACTTCTGCAATTGCTCTATTAATCGTTTTGTTGGCGAATGTACATAAATATTTTTAAAAAGGCGACTGTTTGTGTATGTTTATGTGAATAACGTGTTTGGGGTCGTCTATTAATGAGGTAACGCTGAAGAGGGGGGAGTGGGTGTGAGGCAGAGTTACGCTGCATTACATAGGGATAGGGGGTCATAGTTAAGTGTTACAAGGTGCTGATATTTATTTTTAAAATCTTTCAACATTTGCTGCAATAATTCGTTTTATTCGTCTTATACTAAAACATTACAGTATTAACAAGAAATTAAAAGTATAATAAATGAAAGAAGTTATATTGTATAAATTGTTACAATAAACGAAAATATTCTTCATCAATGATATATTGATTGAATCTTTTAGACTACGAAGAAAATATTCAAAACCGATCTATAGTATATTCTACAATCCAAATAGTTGGCGCAGTATCCTCGGAGCATATGCAGCATCCACGACGGCACGTGCAAGGTTTGCCAGAAGGTTCCTCGCCCAAGCGTCCTTCTTTCATTGGAAAAAAAAATGTCCCCAAACGTATTGACCGCATTATGCATAGTTCGCACCACCAACTAATTGTCATTTTGATTATAATACATTTTAAAGTATAACACAAATACATTTAATACAACTCGTTTCTGCTCTATAATTTAGTTTTATTTTCAGGAATTGGGGGGCGGGCTTATCGCAAGCGTTACGAAATTATTAGAGAGGGGTTCTAGCGCGCGTAACAGGTGCGTTGCAAGGGGAAATGGGATATTCAAAATACTCCAAATTTGCTATATATAATTTATGATCGGCCCCTTACTTATGTTTAATAAGAATAAGTTGCTAGTCACATTCATTTGAAAGTTGGTATTTGCACGCTTAAGAACGTAAATTTAAGAATTAGAACGTAAGAACGTAAATGTGCTTTCATTCTCTATCAACTACTCACAGTTTCGTTTCCTACAAATTCACTTGACATTCTTCAAATTTTATAAGTTCCAAGAAAAAACTGTTCTTAGCATTTTGCAAATTTATTTTTAAAAAATAGGGTACGGATAAAAAGGAAAAAAAATATCTGCCGCGATATTCACTTGTTCAACTTAGAAATGGCAAAATCAAGGTTGCCAGCTTCATGAAAGAAAATTATGTCGTCACGGAGCGAAAATTGTCTTTGGGTACAGGAGTTTAATCAGCGCTACCTACATAGATCTATTTAGGTGGCGTTGATTTAATTACCCACCTATCCACTAAAATAACTGCCAAATCCACCAAAACACACAAAACACATTTCTGGAAGCTTCTTAGAATCGTCATGCCGGACACGAAAACAAATTATCAGTTCCCAGGTGACCGAGAAGCGTCGAATGGCACCTCATGTCTCGATTGGTGGACGGGAAATGGTCTAACCGTGAGTGATGGACTCCGACGAACGTCCGCACACTCCCAGTTACTCAAAATATTATTTAAGGATGGTAATTACATCCCTGTGACAGGCTACATGGAAAATGGCGTTTGTAAATTTGTAGACACTAGATGCAAATAGCGCCTCTCTCTTACCTCTTAAGAACGCGGTTGTTATTAACAAAAAGTTTAATTCGTGAACAAAAGAATGAACCTTTCTAATGCAAGTTCCTCAAATCCCTGTCTCCTGACTTGCTTCCATATTTTGAACTGTATCCGAAGTACACGCAAGAGGGTATCACCAATTACATTACGTCCATTTAAATAATATTTTTTGTAAAAAATTACATATTTTTTCTGCAAATATTCATTTTTTCATCATATAACTGTAGTGGAAACATTTTAATCAACATTTCTTCGACTCCATTGACCAAATAATGGTAGTTTCCGTTTTTTCCTCCGAACAAATCCAGACGAATACCGATTAAAAACGAGACAAGACAAGCGCGCTAATCTTTCTTCCCCATCTGCCCAGCACACCCGCCACTGCAGTGGCGTGGGAGATCGATATCCAAAATTCAAATGCTTCATTCCTCATGACCTTGCAAATTTCGGCATGCACGGGTGGACGGCAGGCAAGGTGCGGCGTTGGCTCCGGAGATCCCAGGAGGTGGTGACGTCGCTAGTAAGATGGTTCCTGTGGTGGTCTGTCCCTCTTGCTTCCGCAGGGACACCTCTGTATGTCCCTCACATCCTGGCGCCGCCCGTGACCGGAAGTGGCGGCGGTGGCCAGCGCCGAGGCGAGAAACGAGGAAGACGAGCAGGTGGGCGCGGCGGCGGCGGCGGCGCGTGCCTA